TGGTGCAGAAACCGATTCATTTTCTTGTCACAATGCTCTTTTCTGTGGGGAAAACCACGTGTTTTCTAAAAAGTCGTGTAGGTAGGGTCCAACTCTTACCGAATTATTGCTACCATTACATGAAATATTTATGAAACACATTATGCCTAGCGTGTCTTTATAAAGAAGATCATAAAATTTCCTCCTGATGATTAAGCGTTGATGATTAATAGTTGCTCATGCTGGTTTCACTTCTACAAGAACACCAGGTCGCAATTTAGTGTGACGTGAGTGAACTGTGCGCTCGCTGTCTGGCCAGGTTTTGAGCGAAGTGTCCTTGCGCAAACCGCTCTCTGTGCGTATAATAATGATTTCAAAAGACGCACTCTTAATGATTGCTCATGAGGCTTTGTTTCATCATCCCGTTCTCAGCTTGGATTCCATACACTCCTTGTTCTACTTCCATAAAAACTTGACCGTAATCAAGAGTTCCACTCTGTGCAACTAGTTTTGGCTGGAAACAAATAGGAATTTATAACATTGATAACATCTGACACCACTAATGTAGCCATCCGTAGCAGGTTAATTGTGGTCCGGTCCCAAGATGTTAATCTTTTTGCGGATCACCTATTGATCGTTTGGGTATCAGTGCAACACCAGTTCTAAATGGAATACTCTTGCGTTGCGCTCTTAATGATACGATTTTCTTACACATCTTTGATCATGTTTCACTGAAAACTTTTCTTTCAACAAGGCTTTTTTATTACTCGCACTATTACAAGTTACCTTCCTATGACCCTCTGCTCACATTTTTGCTGAATTTCCGAGGTATACCCCCTGTTTGGCTACCAATGTTACCTAGCAATTCAAATTTCTTCGGATGTTTCATCGATACTTCTTTTTTTTATTTTGAAAATCGGAGTTTCGATTGGTCGATATAGATCTCTCTCTAGGAGACCCACTTTCTGAACTCTAAGGAATTCTTACTAACTTTAGTTTCACAACTCCGGGTGGCTATCTGGAGCCTGGTTACGTCTAATCAGTCTACTACATCGAATACCTAAGCAAATCAGAGGTAGGTGCGGGGTTTCAAGGTCATTATTACATACATATATTGTGCTAGGCCTTCCTGAAGGATCGTTTTGCTGTCGACTTGTTGGCAGCAGCAGTCACATTTTCTTACCTTCGCCTCTTATTATCCTATATTCTCGCGAGTTTTATTTATTTTATCATTCAGCTATCACATTTCCCTCTAACCTTCAGTATTCTTCTAGAAGTTTCATCGAGTTCAATTCGTTCTCTATCGCGGTGTGAGATCCCGCGTGGTCGTGAACGTTCGGATTTGATTAACCTCTCCGAGTTATTTCCACCAAGTGCCACAGTACACCCGAAAAGAGAGGTGCGTGTTTTGAACAAAAAATGTTGGCTAATGTATTTCAGTTTACATACTTGATTTTTCATTTCACTGTGTTTCCTGTTTCTGTATTTCTGATTTGGTAAATCCAGTTTCTCAAACTTCATATTAAAAAGTAAGCGTGCCTGCCAATTGGAACTTGTTCTGATTTTGACCAACTTGCACTAATTATAAAAAGATTTTGCTAACAGCTCTGTTGCTTAGATACTATAAGGATAACCAGAGAAAAACTGCAGCGGGTCTCTTTGCAAGAGCCCTCACGCTAAGGGGAGGTGACAGCGTCCGAATGATTCCAATTTTCTCTTCGAAATACCTTTGCAGCGGTGCAATAATCGGAGTTATGTAGAGCAGGGAGATTGTGGTAGAGTTTCCAAAACGGCGTCGTTATTGTCGTTAAGCTAACTGACGCATTCGTTGGGCTCAACCGTCGTCTATTGTTAAAATTGTTGTACAACATTTGGAACAAGCAATTCTTTCACAACAGAGTTTTCTAAGCGAGTGGGTTCGAAGGTATGAACGTACGGTCTTTGGATGCTCCTTTCCCATTTTCAAACCACAACCTTTAATAAACTTATTGCGGGACTTGCTCTAGGTAAGAGCAAGGGCATGAAGTATTTTCTGCCAGGACTGTCTATTTTATATCACGGGCAACGAAATTCCATAAATTATATATTCCTTTTTCGTGTATTCGGCATCGTTACACATCTTTTGTAGTGGTTTATTAAGATGTTTATTTGCAACTGTCACAAGGGGGAACGGATTTACGCATTTAACTTGGAGCTCTTCGAACGAAACTCCGAACGATTGGTTAACAACCTACGAGTTATTGCTATCTTCAGCCGCCAATGTGAAGTTCCTGTCATACCGGTGTCGGAGTCAATCAAACCACGGCACGCACGTTCGCAATCCGATAGTTCCCTGAGATTTATGTGATTTGAAGAAGCGCGCATTGATAGTTCATGAGAATCCTTCAAACTTGGACGAAAGACAAGCTTCAGTGTTGGGTCAAGGCATTTTGGTACTGTATCGTTTACAGCCGGTTGGACCTTTACCAGTTTAAATTATGACGACCTTGAGTGAGAGAATGATGAATAATGGCTCCACAGGAATCTGCAGTGATACACCTAAATTTAGTTACTTATTTTGTTTATTTATTTATAAAATAAATAAAGTGATGTGGAATTACATTTCAAGTAGATTTTGCACAATTCAACGGTTTTCTAGATTTGTCACAAAATATTTGTATAGGCTTGACCTTTTGATGCGGTGCGATTGTTGTTTTGTGCGATTTGTGATCACACGGCGTCAAATGTGAAAGTCAACATTTTGGAGCGTTTCGAATCATTTAATTCCACTATCAGCATCAATCTATCGCCTAACAAGTCAAACGTTGCCTTTGAACTGTCTTTATTTGCAATCAATAAGGTGAAAATCTTAATTTATAAATCAACTTTTGTATCGCTTCTGTCTCAGCTGCCTGTAGAGTTTTCTTTGTAAAATTCTTGAATTCCCGTGTTTTATGAGTGATGTGAGTGTAAAATTGCGCACAATTAATGCTTATTTAATGTGGCCTACTGGCTTCACACATGCTTGACATGTAATAAACAAACAAACAAACAAAACTCAATCGCGTATGGTGCCTCACAAGTCCCAGGGTTTTCAAGTGCATACTGAGAAATTGGAGCTGTCAGTGTTCTTAATGACTTCATTCGACAGACTGACTAACTGTGAGGTGTTCTATGAGAATTTCAACAGCACAACTAGGTAATTTAAAACCAGGTTCAAGAGTATTGGATGAAATTTATGAATTTGGATCTATGCTTTATTCGATAATGCTTATTCATTATAGCAATTGTCAGCGCAACTTTATAAAGCTTCGCCGAAGGCTGTCGACCACACGATGGGATCGTTGTATCGCAGCGAGCCGATGAAGCTTTGCGAAATGATTTTGGTCAGGGATGCCACCTATGATTGTGTCGCGGAATTGGGAAAGTATGGCATTGTGCAATTCAATGACGTTAGTTTCGATAATGAATACTTATTTTTTGCCAACTGATTTACCTTTTATGGAATTCATGAAGTTGTTAGTCGATTACCTCTTTTTCTCCACGAGGCCAAGAGAACTGAAATATTCTTATGAAAATCTTCGTCTGTTCTGATTTACTCCGTTGTTTTTCCCTTCCGTTGAAATGCCTGGGCCTGTTCTTCTTTAGATTTATATTTACGAACCAATTCCGACTTCCATCCTACTGGCTCTCAAACAATACAATGCTACAGACTGCTGTCGCAACATCATTGCGACAGCAGTCTATAGCTTTGTGGCGTTGGAAAAGTCGTAGAGGTGC